CCCCAAAACCCCAAAACCCCAAAACCCCAAAACCCCATCACAAATAATTAATATTGAAATAAAATGGGTAAGAAGAACAAGAAGGACAAAAGAAGCATGTCTAAGCGATCTAAATCCAGCAAGAGCAAGAAGTCAAAGAAAGACAAGAAGAGTAAGAGAGACAAGGAAAAAGAGAGACTCAGGCTACAACAAGAGCAGAAATTAAGAGAAGAACAAGAAGAAAGAGAGCGTCAAGAACAACTAAGAAGGCTTAAATAAAGCAATGTACCTTGATAAGGTAGGTCTAACAGAGGGATTATGAGGATTTGGGTTACCTTTGAAGGTTTTTGGGGGTTAGAAGGTGTTATTGAGGCCATATAGATGCTTTTTGGGTTACAAGACACACTTGCTAAAGAGGGAATTGAGGTCAGCGAAAAATGAATAACAACTGCTCAAGAAACAGAGCAAGAGATTTATAAAAAGATTCACGACCAGATAGCGGAAGGATTGTTAAAAATTCCTGATGTATGATTATTGACCAAAATTTAGTATAAAAAGGGAGAACAAAACACAATCGATCCTTTAGTGGCTGAGATCAGTACAATCGAGAAGAAAAAGAAGTTAAAGAAAGATATAACCTACATGCATTTAAAATAATGAAATTCAAAACCAAGAATACAAGGAGATAAAGAGTAAGTACTTCTTCGAAACCCTAACAAAATATAGAATAAGATAGACCAAAACACAGTCGATGAACTTCAGAACTTAAATAAAACCTCCATGGAAGTAGCTAACTCGGAACATACAGAACGTGTAGGGTTTAAGTAACTCAGGTCTTTAGAACATAATGACACCTAGCTCGTTCAACAACCTAAAAAAGGTGATCTTCAGGTCAAAATCTAAGGAAGAAGGACATAAATTTCCAAATGTATTTAAGAACTCTAACTATAGAAACTTTTGTCTAAAATCCGAAAGCAGAAGCTAGAAACAGCACAGATGAAGACAAAGAGACTTCATGACCAGAATGCCAGGCTGGAGAAGGAAATCAAGAGGCAGGAAGAAATTAAGGAGCAGAAATAAGAACGAGATGAAACAAAGCATCCTCAATAAATTGGATGAAATGGCAAAGAAGCGCAGTGAAGAACGGGAAGAAAGAGAAAGAATGACTGTAAGTCTCTTCCCTCATTTCTTCTAGAAAGAATGGGAACTCAAGAAGAAGGAATTTGTCAATGGAAGTTACCTTCATGAACGCATTGCTCAACATGAGAATATGTCACTTAACCTAGACCTTTCTCATGACAAATTAGAGACTAAGAGCAGTATCAAGAAATATCTTCCACTTGGTAAGATTGGTGGTTTCAATCATTTAGATCATGACCAGCTGAAAGTATTCGAAAAAGATTACCTAAAACGCAAAAAGGTTTTTATCGAATCTAGGAAGAAGAGAAGGCTCCAGGACGGTAAAAGTATCTCAAAGCTCAGCATCCCAACTAGTAAGAAATGGGAAGAACTCAAGAAAAGAGAAGAGGATGAAAAGAAGCAAGCTAAAGAAAGAGTTAAAGAAACATTTGATTTAGCTGCAAAGAGGCTTAAATATTCCGAGGAGGTGAAGACATCTCATTGGCCAGAAATCTCTAAAAAGAAGAAACAAGAAGTTCTTGATCGTAAGATTGAAACGGAAATGATGACTTCCAGAATCAAACAGTCTAAGATAATGGATTTAAAATCCGACAAACAAAGAACAAGTAGGATGAGTAACTCGATTGTCACTTCGACTGGGAAGTCAGATGGAAATCACAAAGTTTCAAATCTACCTTCTTACCAGAGATATAGAGTAAATATCTAATAAACCCATCTAGCTTGCTAAGCCTAAGAGAAGAAACGAGAAAAGGAATAGAACTATTGACCTAAACTTCCAATCTAAAGCTCATATGAAGCCAGTTGGGGAAAAGAAAGGGTATAAGGACTACCTCAGAATTCTGAGGGAAAAGAGAGAAGAAGACCCTGACTCACACAATTTATCATCAGCTAGACATATCTCAGACTGGAAAGATTTGATTAACGGGGATAAGTATGACGAACGAACAAGATTTGAAATGATCAAGATGAAATCTCAACAAATAGACCAGATTTATAAGATGAAGGAGAGGACATTGGATTATGTCGATGCTCCATTAACTCAAGCACATGAGCTGAGTGATATGCTTGTGAACTCAATCCATGCAAAGTTGAATGCTCTGAAGAATCTTGATAATTCTCAGGCATAGATTTCAATAACATAATGTGTTTAAGGGGTTTTGGGGTTTTGGGGTTTTGGGGTTTTGGGGTTTTGGGG